AGTCACGGCTGGCCTCCAGATCCCCTGCCCACCTGTTTTACGTGGCATTATCTGGGATTGTCTGGAGAAAGACCCACAGAAGCGCCCAACTGCTGGAGGTTTGTATCTGCCTACAAAGTCCACCAGGGTACCCAACACCCAATCCTAGTCTTCTAAACTACGATAAAAGCAGATAACATTTTTCTTGATGTATAGCCAAAACCCTCAATCAGTTGATTCACCCAGAAGTGATATTAAAATGTCAGTAACTCTGTAAATACATTCCCGAAAAGCCACAATATACAGCAACAGTATCACTCTTCAGAAAAGCTCCACTTTTTAAAAAGCTGTCCTTGAGCTCCAGATATTTTGCCTAGGCTGAGATGATGTCATCAATCTGCTGCATGCAGTCAGAAGCATTTTCTCTATCTCCCTTCCCCTGTGATCAAACAGCAACATTGTAACTTTAAAGCAAGTCACAAGGTGTGAGGCTGCAGCAGGGGCTCATCTGTGTCAGACATTTGTGAACACAGCCAAGAACTGCACAGGCACCAAGATTTACATAACTGTGTCATCTCTGAGTTGATATACTGAAATGTTAGTTCCGAGTTGATACCTGGTACTTTTGGCATGTGGCCTCCCCTTCCTCCCAGGATGTAGTGCTCTGAGCAAGCCATTTAACAATTCCAAATACTGTCATGTGAGAGAATGGAGACTGTCATTGTGTAAGCTCAGACATAGAGCTTACACAGGGATTAGATTCCACACTCCAACAGGCAAACGGTACATTTTCTGTGCCTGTTTTTGTTCAATCACACCAAATGAGAGAATCCCAAAGGCCAGTCTGGTCACCACAAATAGTTTTTATTGCACCACATGGCAGCCTGTTGGATGAGGAGACCCCCCCCCCCATGCTCGGGGAACAGTCTGGTAAGATCTGATAACATTGACCACTGTGTATTTACAGAAATTGCCAATCGGCTTGTTGCTGAGCCAAACCCACAGGTATCTGTGATGGAGACGATGGTGTAGACGAGGGGTGGTGACCTGAAGGAGATTTGGACCTCACTATGGGAACAGACTACAACAATCCAACAATGACAGCGAATCTCCCTCGTTCTAGAAGGCTGGGATCGATCCTTTCTTCAGCCTGATGTTCCTCCTTGGAGTACCATTCTAGAAGGTTACATTCAACACTTTGTTCATTCTGATGGAGGTGGAACGGCCAATTCCACTTCAGTATGGGTCACAGTATGGTGATCCAACAAGGACAGTGAATGTTCCTCCACTGGGTTTCATTCTAGAAGGTTACATTCAACACTTTGTTCATTCTGATGGAGGTGGAACGGCCAACTTCAGTATGGGTCACAGTATGGTGATCCAACAAGGACAGTGAATGTTCCTCCACTGGGTCTCATTCTAGAAGGTTGAGATCCATACTTTGTTCAACCTTATGGTCTCTTCTGTTTTATAAAGCTGGTTGGGATGATTCTACTGCTCATTTTCACCAACAGAGGACACAATAATCCACAAAGTTTTATTGTGAATACAATTCAGGGATTTCTAAAGACTTTCCATGACGTTTCAGTGGAGAGTTCAGAGGAGGAGCATTCATGGTCTGACCTTTGTTTTCACTGTAATATACATACTTGTTAGACAAGTGTTAAAAAAAAAAAAAAGGCAGAAAAAGCTGCATGTCAAAACTTTTATAATCTGTATTTAAAAACAGCCAACTGTATCTTTATAATAGAGAATTGGGGAGAGATGAAGAGAAATTGCTGAACCATACAGACCGTCCATCCCTCTTACTGGCCCCGGGGAAGAGGCTGATTCATTGTATTATTGGTAAAACATAATCTGTTTATGTATGGCTGTCATGTTACCTGACTTGTCATCTAATTAAAAATTCCATGATCATAAGGTCTCCTGAATTTTAACAAGACCGGCGGTTTTTCTGGCAGCATTCTCAAGAAATAACAATGGAAGATATAAATACTACAAGAGCAGAGAGATGGGAGGAAAAAAAAAAATAGAGAATTATTTTTTACGGGAAGGAATAACATGCAGGTTTACAGGAAAGAGTGATGGGCTGGTTTGTAGGACAGAACAGTGGGTGGGGGTTATAGGGAGGAATGAAGGGCAGGTCTATGGGAAGAAATGACAAGACAGGCGTTTTGGAAGAAATGATGGATGGGTTTACGGTTAGGGATGGAGAGCGGATTTTTAGGAAGGAATGAGCAGCTGGTTTATGGGAAGGAATGAAGGGCAGGCCTATGGGAAGGAATGCCAGGGCAGGTCTATGGGAAGGAATGCCAAGACAGGTTTGTAGGAAGAAATGGTGGATGGGTTTATGGTCAGGGACAATGAGCCAATTTTTAGGAATGAGGAGCTGGTTTATGGGAAGGAATGGTGGGCAGGTTTATAGAAATGCATGACAGGCTGGATTGTAGAAAGCTGCTGTGGGTGCGTTTATGGGAAGGAATGACGGCAGGTTTACTTTCAAAAGATCATTGGGTTATTTATGGTAAGGAATGAGGAGTTAGTCTATGAGAAGGAACAACAAGCAGGTTTATTTAGAAGGAACGACGGGCAGGTTAATGGGAAGGAAGGGCAACGACGGGACCAGGTTAATTTATGGGAAGGAATGACGGGCAGGTTTATTTCAAAGGAACATGGACTTAGTTAGTTATGGTAAGGAATGAGGAGCTGGTTTATGGGAAGGAACGACGGGCAGATCTATGAGAAGGAACGACGGGCAGGTTAATGAGGAGCTGTTTTATGGGAAGCAATGACAGGCACACTTGCAGGAAGGCATGAGAGGGGCAGGTATATTCCTACTTAAGAGGAAACATAACACAAAAGGTGTTGGCCCGAAGACTGCAGAGGTTGGCACGGTTTCTCAACACATGAATAGCTGTGTACATAAAATGTTTGTTTCGGAGCATGACGGATGTCCACCACAGAACATCTAAATGGTGAACTTTGAGTTGTGGAACAAATACATTCTCTTACATACAGTAAAGGAGGAAATAAAGTCCCTGTTGGGCACGAGATCATCATCTTGGGAGTTGTAGTTCCCAGTTGCTAGCTCTGAATGAGTTATTTACGTATAAAAGCTCTGATGGACATACAAAGATCAAAGGCAGTGCCCCAGGGATGTAATTAGTGCCCCAGGGATGTAATTAGTGCCCCAGGGATGTAATTAGTGTCCCATGAACATATTTAAGATCTCCATGGACTTAGAAGCTTCATGGACATAGTTAGGAGCCCCAAGGACGCAGTTTGGTAAAAAAGCTGTTTAAGCACCTATAGCAAACAAAGGAAATAAACAAAACCAGCATAAAATAAAGGGAACTTGTATTAACATCTAACAGCTATGTACAGTTCAAATTTCCTGTTCAAGGAGTTGAAGTTCAGGCCTCCGATGTTAGTGGATTAATAGATTTTGTTGAAAATAATCTCATATCATTTGGTGTAATTTAGTTTAGCACATAAAGGGTTACACCTAGCTGTAATCTGTCACTGCGTCATTCTTTGCAGTTTTTCATTTAAAGTTCTCCAACATGTTAGAAAATGTGACAGAGGCCGCAGGTTTATCTGCATTGTAAATGAACCTGATAACTGGATTCTGTGGATGGTAAGCATCACTGTACCTGCCTTCAACAAGCATCCATCTTCCCCCTGAACGTACTGTAATGACTTTCTCTTTCTGGTAAGTCAGAAGATGGCAGTACTTGTCATGGCCTTAGGGGAAGGCGTGCATTTGGGGGGTGGAAAAATATCAGCTACCCAGGCACTGACAGGTGTTTTTTTTTTCCAATTTCATGTACAACTTTTTTAAACTTTTTTTTTTTTAAAAAACATGTGCAACTTTGTTATAATAAATATAAAAAAATGACTGCTGATCATGACTATAGCTAAGCTATGATTAGCAGCCTGTAGTCCAGAATTGATTTCCTATAGAAAACTCCCAGAGCAGAGACAGTGCCCCATGGTCGTAGGTTAGATGACATATGGATGTAGATGGTATCGTCTTGTAATGCCCCCATGGATGTCATTAGGTGTCTCATGGACATAGTTGGACGTCCTATGGACTTAGTTAGGTGCCTTATTATAAGGGGCCCTATGGACACAGTTAGGCACCCTATGAAAGTAACTCTGTAACCCATGAATATAGGCACCTTACTACATGTAGTGTACACAAAGGAACCTAAAATGTAAAAACATAAAAAATGGGCTGATTATCCCACCATAGATCTAGTCTGCATTCCGTGACTTTAAAATAATCAGTGTCTCTGGGAAACTGATATTCATCCAGGCAGACTGGCCATGTAATCTCACTTACAGGAAATATGTCAGCAGAAGGTTTGAGGGCTGGGCAGATTTGATTCAACTGGTTGAATGGTTGCAGATTCCAGTGCAGCTCTTAGGGGACAGGGCAGACGGCCAGAAATGGAAAGAGCCTGTGGGCAGAAATATGAGGGCTAGGGCTAATGAATACAGAAATGGTTGAATGGTTGCCTGAATCAATAGCCCTAGCAGCATATTTCCCCACAGAGCCATTTGCCTTCATAACTAAGGTAAAAACGTTTAGTATTGAGCATGCAGGGCATGAGGACACTTGGTGTGTATAGACCTTAGATCTTCTAAACAATATCCAAACTAATACCTGGAGTACTTATTTTGCAATTCTGGGAGAGGTATCTGGAAGAAGCACCCAATACATCAGTCAGTCCTGCTGGTTGAAGTAGCTGGCTGGGTCTGAACACGATGCAACTAAAATTACAGTTCTCCTTTGTGTTCAGTGTAATTTGCAAAGTACATGTAGCAGAACATTCTTCTGAGTGAGGAGGAGCAGGCGCTGCAGGCCGATCAGTGACCAGTAGATGCCTGAGATTAGCACATCCTGTAGAACAGGTCTACATTTGGAGCTCTGCTAAGTCACCCCCCCCTCCCTTTAGTCACAATATGGAATTAAAAACCCATCCTGCAGCTGAACAACTTGTCACAGAAGCTGCTCTCTAACTCTCCTCGTCTTCTTCTTTATCCCTCAGACCTTCACTCTGACGTGTCTTTCCTGTCATCTCCAGCAGAGCCTGCGTCTCCGGGTCCGCGTCCAGCACACTCTTCTTGTTTTTGGCCTGAAAACATAGTAAATTTGATTTATGATGCCAAACAAAGTTGCCGACAATGAGAGGGTCAGCACACACACAGGGTGTTGGGGGAGAGTAGTTACACACCCCTGACACCAATGGTGGGGCACTATTGCTCCCACACTGACACCAATGGTGGGGCTCTATTCCTCCCACTGACACCAATGGTGGGGCTCTATTCCTCCCACTGACACCAATGATGGGGCTCCAAATGACACCGATAATGGAATAAATGAAGAGGTGGAGCTCTAATAGGAAGAGGTGGAGTCTCCCACTGACACCAATGGTGGGGCACTATTGCTCCCACACTGACACCAGTGATGGGGCACCATTTCTCCCACTGACACCAGTGATGGGGCACCATTCCTCCCACTGACACCAGTGATGGGGCACCATTCCTCCCACCCACTGGGGCACCCCAGTGATGGGGCACCATTCCTCCCACTGACACCAATGATGGGGCACTATTCCTCCCACTGACACCAATGATGGGGCACTATTCCTCCCACTGACACCAGTGATGGGGCACTATTCCTCCCACTGACACCAGTGATGGGGCACCATTCCTCCCCCTGACACCAGTGATGGGGCACCATTCCTCCAAATGACACTGATAATGAAATAAAAAAAAAAAGAAGTGGAGCTCTAATAGGAAGAGGTGGAGCCTAAAGAGGAAGGGTTTTACAGATAAAGGAGTGGATATTAAGCAGGAAGGGGTGGGGCAAATTTAGATGGGGGGGTGCCCAATTTAAGTCTTGCCTGGGGCAGCACAAAACCAAAATACACCACTGACCTCATGAATGTAGTTAGGCAGTCCGCAGATGTTATTAGACGTCAAATGGTATAGGCAGGCTCCCCATGGACATAGTTATGTGCCCCCTAGATGTAGCTGAGCTTTCTGTGGATGTAGTTAGGCAAACCATGGACAGGAATAAGGCCTTGTAGCAGTGAGAGAAATAGTGCCTTAAGGGTCAGGTAAAGGCACGCAAAGGCCTGCTTGCTTCCAGGGACGCATGTGACAGGGTGACAAATCATAGTGGATGCAGCACCATTACAAAGCCGACTTCTTAAGGATTTACTCTTCCTACCTGTAAGTGTTCTGGCATCTCTCCAAGTGCCCAGACCTCCATGGCGTCTATAGTGAATTCCTCGTTGGCGGACAGCTGGGGGCTATTATAGGTGGTACACCGCGGCTTGGCTTTGCTGTGTCCTTTCCCAAAATTGCTGTCGATCCACAGACCAAAATACTCATGCTGTCCTCCCATGCCCTGGCGGAAACCATACACACTGCCATTAAAGACATATACGTCTTTCATTTGGTACACTGTTTAATACATTTTGCTAGCAAATTTGGCAAAATATAAAATAAACAAATTCTATATTTTTCTTTTTAATAATGTAAGTGTATCTTACAACAACAGTATTAAACAGAAGCCACTGCAATTCTGTAGTCACATTTGCAGGCTAAAAGCTCCTTTTTTTTTTTTTTTTTTAAATGTACCTCCAGGCTTTATGTGATTAGTATTTCACACAGTAGCTGGCATATTAGTCACATGATTGGGAGCAACTCTGATTGATTCCTGATAGATAGTAGGGACCTACAGTATCAGGATCTACCTATGAAATGGAAAATGTAGAATTACATCTTTCATGGGAATGTTAATCTACAGAATGCATACAGTATTGGGTTAACACCAAGATGGGAACTGACACTCACCAGTCCATTCGGCATGGTCTGTTGTCCATGGTTCAGGTACATGTAGTGGTCATTATAACCAGTGTAGATGTAAATATCAAGATGTGGGGACACAGAGAAGAGGAAGCATCTGCTGTCTCCTGTTGAAGATAAAAATATTGAGGAGTCACCTCAGGGGCGGACTGACAACTCATGGGGCCCCCGGGCAATAGGGGATCATGGGGCCCCTGTGTCTTTGCCCACACTCAAAGCACACCCAAAAAAGCCTATAATAAGGTAACGGGCAATTCATGGCGCCCCCTACTGACCCCGGGCCCTGGGGCAGTGCCCGAGTGCTCGAATGGTCAGTCCGCCCAAGTCAGATAATGTCATCAAGAGCTGGCACAGGGCTCAGAGCTGTCACAGGTGTGTTCCTTAAGATATCCAGAGACATAAAATGATAGTTGCCTGATCCAACCTTGGTTGCCAACATCACTGGATCAGCCATTGTTTGTGGGAGGAAAGGACAGAGCTCACTGGAAAGCACACCTCTACCAGTTTCTCTTCACCCTGATGGACCGAAACAAGCAGACAGAGGGTGGACCTCCTCACTGAGGTATTAACATAATCAGTCCCAGGATGGTGACCACGTGATTAATTTCTAGAAACACTGCTGGAAATAATGGATATATTGATAATATTAATCACTGGTGGAATTTATAGATGGGGCATGGAGTATTCCCTGCTGCTGCTCTATCAGGGTCCTACTCATGTATCTTTGCACTGTTAAGGCAATGGCCTTCATCCTGGCTCAGTTGTGGCACTGAACACACGCCCATGATCTCTCATAGCAATGGACGAAAAAAGCCCTGACTCTCTCTATAGCACTGGACCCATGCCCTCACTCTCTCTATAGCACTGGGCCCATGCCCTCACTCTCTCCATAGCACTGGGCCCATGCCCTTATTACTATACAGGATTTATATAGTGCCAACAGTTTGCTCAGCGCTGTACATTACTCTCTATAGCACTGGGCCCATGCCCTCACTCTCTCTATAGCACTGGGCCCATGCCCTCACTCTCTCTATAGCACTGGGCCCATGCCCTCACTCTCGCTATACAGCACTGGGGGCCCATGCCCTCACTCTCGCTATACAGCACTGGGCCCTCATGCCCTCACTCTCTCTACAGCACTGGGCCCATGCCCTCACTCTCTCTACAGCACTGGGCCCATGCCCTCACTCTCTCTACAGCACTGGGCCCATGCCCTCACTCTCTCTACAGCACTGGGCCCATGCCCTCACTCTCTCTCAGCACTGGGCCCATGCCCTCACTCTCTCTACAGCACTGGGCCCATGCCCTCACTCTCTCTATAGCACTGGGCCCATGCCCTCACTCTCTCTATAGCACTGGGCCCATGCCCTCACTCTCTCTATAGCACTGGGCCCATGCCCTCACTCTCTCTATAGCACTGGGCCCATGCCCTCACTCTCTCTATAGCACTGGGCCCATGCCCTCACTCTCTCTACAGCACTGGGCCCATGCCCTCACTCTCTCTATAGCACTGGGCCCATGCCCTCACTCTCTCTATAGCACTGGGCCCATGCCCTCACTCTCTCTGAAGCACTGAACCCATGCCCTCACTCTCTCTATAGCACTGGACCCATGCCCTCACTCATAGCACTCCCATGCCCTCACTCTCTCTATAGCACTTGACCCATGCCCTCACTCTCTCTATAGCACTGGACCCATGCCCTCTCTCTCTATAGCACTGGACCCATGCCCTCACTCGCTTATAGCACTGGGCCCATGCCCTCACTCTCTATAGCAATGGGCCCATGCCCTCACTCTCTATAGCAATGGGCCCATGCCCATGCCCTCACTCTCTCTATAGCACTGGGACCCATGCCCTCACTCTCTCTTATAGCACTGGACCCATAGCAATGCCCTCACTCTCTCTATAGCACTGGACCTATGCCCTCACTCTCTCTATAGCACTGGACCCATGCCCTCACTCTCTCTATAGCACTGGACCCATGCCCTCACTCTCTCTATAGCACTGGACCCATGCCCTTACTCGCTTATAGCACTGGACCCATGCCCTCACTCGCTTATAGCACTGGACCCATGCCCTCACTCGCTTATAGCACTGGACCCATGCCCTTACTCTCTTTATAGCACTGGACCCATGCCCTTACTCTCTTTATAGCACTTGTCCCTTATCCTAGCACTCTTATGACACTGGCCTCTGTCATGGATTTCTTATGGCACTGGTTCCATTGTAACTCTGTTGTTAAAGAAATGATGTGCTACGGTACTGATCCCTACTTTGGCTTTGTTGTGGTACTAGTCTTCTGTTGCGGCTCTGTTACTTCTAAAATGTCCTACTTTGAAGGGGTCCCCCTCAGTTTCTGGAAAGCTGATGAACCCAAGTCATCAGGTTCGATTAATGTCATTCCCCACTTACTGGAGATTTGTGTGTAGCGCCTCATCTCTGCCCTTTTGTGGCTCTTATGTTCCTCTGCCCTGTCTCTGTTATGTCACTAGCCCCTGCAGGGTCTCTCTCTGATAGCACTGGTTCCCTGTTGTAGCCCTGCTAAGGCACTAGTCATTTATCTTTGCTCTATTATGGCACTGGTCTCCTATCCAGGCTCTGCTATAGTGCTGGTCTTGTATCCTTGCTCTCCTATGGCACTGGTCCCTCGTCCTGGCGTATGGTACTAGTTCTGTTGTGGCTCTATTTAGGCACCGATTCCGTATCTTTGCTCTGTTATGGTCCTGGTCTGCTGCCCTCTCTTAGGTTACTGGTCCACTGAAGTAGCTCAGTTTTGAAACTTGTTCCCTATAATGGCTCTGATATGATATGGTTCCCCTTCTAGATCTCTGTTTGGGCAATGGTCCTCTGCCATAGCTCAGTTGTGGCACCGACTCCTTATAGTAGTTCTGTCAAGACATGGTTCCTTGATGTGGCACTGTTCTCCTGCCGTGCTTCTGTTATGGCACTGTTCCCTTGCAGTGGTTCTATCATGGCTATGGTTCCCCACCCCAGATCTGTTGTGGTACTGGTCCTCTACCCTCTCTTAAGACACTGGTCACCTGCAGCAGCTCTGTTATGACATTGGTCCCCTGCCATTGCACTGTTATGGCACTGGTTCGCTACGCTGGATCTGTTATGATACTGGTCCCCAACTCTTGGCTCTTTTATGTCACTGGTCCCCTGCCGTGGCTCTGTTGTGGCCCTGGTTCCCCACTACTGCTCCATTTTGGTAGCCTAGAACCTCACCTTGAAACTTTGGCTTCACCTCCCAGCTCTGTGAGGCAAACCCTCCAAAGATGAAGCCATCAGAGTCTCTAAGAACCAGCAGGCTCGGTCCTTGGTCCACCAAGTGTCCGCAGAGCTGGGAGAAGCTCTCTCCGTGGATCTGGGTGGAGAAGAGGAGACGCCAGCGCTGCTGCATTTCGGAAGGGAGGTGAGAATTCAGAAACATGACAGAAGGGAAGTCCAGGAGGCTGCAGAAGGATGCCTGCTTCCCCTTCTTACATTTTGGCACCAAACAGCCGAGGTCCAGCTGGTGCTCTGTGCTCTCCTTCATGATGGACAAACCCAGCGTCACCACGATCCGCAGGAACATAGAAACCATTGGAGCCCTGTACAGCCAGTCTGTTATGGAGACCTGCGTGTAGGAGGAGCTAAGGTGCTCCGCCTCTTTAAGGGTCTGTCCACCTGGAACAGAGAAGGTGAGAAGGAGTTCTCTCTAACTTAGTAAAAGAAGGAAGGGAAATATCTGAGGAGGAAATATCACATACCTGCCGAATGTAACTGTGACAGCAGCTGTGAGGCCAGCATGTATGTCCCCGATTTGCAGTCACGGGTGTTTTCCAGGCTCCAGCCGCTCAGTCCGTTGTGTCTCTGCAGTACGTACACCACCGCCCAAATCAGATCCTCCAGGAACTGGTGAAAGAGATCGATATTCCTCAGGGCTACAGGAAAACCAGACGGCGTATGTTCAGCGAGCCCTGCGTTACTGTATTAAGTCGCAATGACAGGCTGCCCGGCTGCCATGTTAGAGGGAATGATGGTCAGAGATTGGGGACACCACAGAAGACGATGAGAGAACGGGGACGTGTTACATGAGGCTAGTAGAGATCATTGTTATCACCCCTTTATAAATCAATGTTGCCACTCCAGCTGCAGACTGCTGGGGTCCAAGGGCCACACGACAAATATCAAAGGACCACACATGGCCCTTGGGTTACAGGTTGGGGACCCAGAGATCTAAAATCTGATCCAAAAAATAAATAGCTATTAAATTTTCCCTAAAGATATTCATTTTTGCTGCAAATACTGCCATATGTGTTTCTAAACTCCCGGCCCCACACTTTCTGCCATGGATATGCAAATGCCCCATTATGAGAGGTCCAGTGTAAGAATTCACAGTGTCCATTGATGGAAGCCTCTACCTATCGGCCTTGGGGGGCCACATGGAGCATTGATGTCTATGTGGATGGCTGGGGGAAGCAGTATGGGGTCACAATGGCTCTGTTATTGGGGACATGTCCCAACGTGGGGCTACACATGACACAACATGGAGACTCACCTCCTGCACTTGTTGTCCTGTCACTTCCTCTCTGCTGTCTGATGTCATCATGTGAACGGTGATGGCGCCTTTCTCATCTGCCGTTCCTCTCAAAATATCAACAATGAACAAAGCGTACTGCTCCCTAGTGATCTCCTGGGCGGTGGGAGAGGTCTTTCCGGTGGGGTTCTCACTCTGCATACCACAGAAGATCCGCTTAGACATGGCACTAGGCAGGGAGCTCCCAATGGAATCCTGGGAAAAATAGAAGCGTGTAAATTTAGAAGAAGATAGGATATTTTGGACCAGTCTCCCCCCTCTGCAGGAAAAAGGACATGAAACCTGGAAATTCGCATCCCTACAGATGTGAATCTCCCCAAATCTTCACCCTGCAGTGAGTGAAGGGATCCTCCCACAGTCCCCATCATGTCATGTGACACATCAGAATGGGAAGCTTGCAATAGCTCTGCATTACCAGCAGCAGATCCAGTACAAAACATCCAGGATGCTGTATTGGTGGTGGTGGTGGTTGTGGGGGGGGGGGGGGGGTCACAGGGTGAGGATGCGGGGCATACAGTGGCCCGGTGTAGGACATGTGACCCGAGTGCTACAAAGCCTGGACTGCAGTTATCCCTTATTGTGAAATTTACAAATAACCTGAAACGCGTTGGCCTGTCTCATCCTATTCTGTCTAATAAAAGTCTATCCCAGGCTCTGTCACCACTGGTGGGGCGCCCTTCCAGCTTTCTACATATCTAAAGATTAACAGCCATCTGTGTCCCCACTGGGGAGATTCATCCCATCTATCCTGGGGTCACCAAGGCAGGAAGTGGAGGAAATCCAAAATGTTACAATTGTCACCAGAACAGGAAACACAAAAAACAAAAAAAGAAATTAAATCTTGTAATGCGGACATCTGATCCTGTGATAAATGTCTATGGGAGGAACTTGCTCTCATTTCCTGTTGTATCTCCAGAACATGAAGTGAAGGGAAATCTCCCCATAGGGTGCACAGACTGCAATAGAGAAGTAAACCACCTGGCTGGGGTCATGATTACTTCCTACTCCATCCCAGCCTGAGAAGAAGAGTTCCACCTCTACATACATGTCACTGAACAGATAGGAATAGAGGACACAGTGTATATACAGGGTGTACATCTATATGATGTCATGTGATTTAGCGGTGTTACCCCGCATGGTTCAGGAGCTGAGAGCTGATGGCTCCGCCCCCACTGGAGTCTTACCTGGAAAGCAGCCAATCCCAGGCTCTTCTTTGTGGCGTTTTTTGACTGCCATAGGTTTTCAAAACTGCTCTGAATCTCGGCCTGCTCGGCAGGAGGGACCCGCGCCATGCGCTTCTGGAAGACGCTACTTTCTGCGTTGCCCATGGCCAATCACCACCAAGGACCGCCCCCTGAAAGAGCATAATATCCAAATAAGAGGAGCATGGGCAGAATATACCAACAGACAGAATATATAGGGGTGGGTGGAGCATGGAATATACCAAAAGATGGGATATATAGGGGATTGTGGAGAATGGAATATACCAGACGGGATATATAGAGGAGGGTGGAGCATGGAATATACCAACAGACGGGATATATAGGGGAGGGTGGAGCATGGAATATACCAACAGAAGGGATATATAGGGGAGGGTGGAGCACGGAATATACCAACAGACGGGATATATAGGGGAGGGTGGAGCATGGAATATACCAACAGACGGGATATATAGGGGAGGGTGGAGCACGGAATATACCAACAGAAGGGATATATAGGGGAGGGTGGAGCACGGAATATACCAACAGACGGGATATATAGGGGAGGGTGGAGCACGGAATATACCAACAGACGGGATATATAGGGGAGGGTGGTTCACGGAATATACCAACAGACGGGATATATAGGGGAGGGTGGAGCACGGAATATACCAACAGACGGGATATATAGGGGAGGGTGGAGCATAGAATATACCAACAGACGGGATATATAGGGGAGGGTGGAGCATGGAATATACCAACAGATGGGATATATAGGGGAGGGTGAAGCATGGAATATACCAGATGAGATATATAGGGGAGGGTGGAGAACATGGAATATACCAACAGACAGGATATAGGGGAGGGTGGACATAATATAACAGACGGGATATATACGGGGAGGGTGGAGCATAGGATATACCAACAGATGAGATATATAAATCTTCTAGATTGTAAGCTCGAAGGAGCAGGGCCCTCGATCCCCTCATGTTTTGCATTGTATTGTTATTGTTCTGTCACATGTTCTGTCCCCCTTTGTAATGTACAGCGCTGAGCGATACTATCGGCGCTTTATAAATACTGTATAAAATAATATGATATAGGGGAGGGTGGAGCATGGACTATACCAACACACGGGATATATAGGGGAGGGTGGAGCATAGAATATACCAAACAGATGGGATATATAGAGGAGGGTGGTGCATGGAATATACCAACATATGGGATCTACATGGGAGGCTGGAGCATGGAATGTACCAACAGATGAGATATACAGGGGAGGGTGGAGCAGGAAATATACCAAGAGACAGAATATACAGAGGGGCGGAGAATGGAAAATAGAAGCAGACAGGCTATAGGGGGTGGAGCATGGAATATATCAACAGATGGGATGGAATATATCAAATATGAAGGAAGGTGGAGCATGGAACATACCAATAGACAGGACATGTAGGAAAGAAGGGCGTCTGAAATAAAGCAATGCATGAAATGTATGGGAAGGAGGGACCCCGGGTATACCAACAGACAGAATATATAGGGGAGGATATGAGGACATGTGCAGTACACACAGATCAGACTGTAGTGGGGAGAGGAGTGGTGAGCACCATCGGACGCTCGCTGTGTATACAGGGAGTGCGGTCACTGGATAGATATCCCAGCACTGGACATGGCTGGCCCACAGCTCTGTCTCCCCTCCCCCTCCCATCAATACTCCACATAGACATTCCATGATGAGATCAGATATTGATCGATCTGCAGAGGAGGAAATCAGAACTCAGATGATTGGATGGAGAGAATCTTGGAACTCCACATCTCACCAGGACTGAGAGGACAGTGCGGTCTCCCGTGTTCGGGATGAGGACAGTACGGTCTCCCGTGTCGGGGGGGGGGGGGAGGGGGGACAGTGCGGTCTCCCGTCGTGGGGGGAGGGGACAGTGCGGTCTCCCGTGTCGGGGGGAGGGGTGCGGTCTCCCGGGGAGGAGGGGACAGTGCGGTCTCCCGTGTCGGGGGGGGGGGGGAGGGGACAGTGCGGTCTCCCGTGTCGGGGGGGGAGGGGACAGTGCGGTCTCCCGTGTCGGGGGGGGGGGGGGAGGGGACAGTGCGGTCTCCCGTGTCGGGGGGGGGGGGGGGGACAGTGCGGTCTCCCGTGTCGGGTGGGGGAGGGGACAGTGCGGTCTCCCGTGTCGAGGGGGGGGGGAAGTGCGGTCTCCCGTGTCGGGGGGAGGGGACAAGTGCGGTCTCCCGTGTCGGGGGGGGGGAAAGTGCGGTCTCCCGTGTCTATGTTCCATGTAAGGTCACCTCCATCCACTGTTTATAAAAAACAGATACTCTTCCAATGTTACCTGTACACAGGCTGAGTGTGGGCGGAGCCAGCTCTGGGTGATGGAGACATTCATCATCACTCTAATGGGGACCGCACTCCTCCCTCTCTATGGGGACCGCACTGGGGGACCGCCGCACTCTATGGGGACCGCACTCCTCCCTCTCTCTCCAATGGGACCCCCTCTATCAGGGGTCTGTAAACTTTACAAAGGGCCTTCAGACTTTAGGGGGGCCGGCCTGTGCCCAGTAAGGGCAGACAATGTCCGGAGCCCGGCATCAGCGGAGGGAATAGTGCCCCAGTGTTGGTGTCAGAGGGAGGTAGATAAAGGCTAAGCAAAGGGCCACATCTGTCCCTCGGGCCGCACTCCTCTCACCTCTCTATGGTCTTTTCTCTCTCCCAGTGACACCACGAGCTCCGCCCCCAGAGCGGGCATTCTGAGGCAATTTCTTTATCCTCCAATCAGGATACAGTTGGGCGGAACGTTATCTCTCTTTCATATTGGTGGCCCCGCCCCTTCCAACATCACGTCCTCACTTTCACCGACAGCCCCCTTGTCGAGTTGTGTAGGGCAAAGAAAATCCCGATAGTATCGTGATCCCGGGTCACGGATGCGCAGTAGAGGCCGGGAAATCCCGTTCGAACTGCGCATGCGCAGAATCCCGGGGTCACGGCTGCGAATCCCTGTCCCTCCAGTGACCCAATCCCTGCCCCTCCGGTGACCCAATCCCTGTCCCTCCGGTGTCTGAGGTCACAGAGCGGGAGGAAAATCGGATCCCTTCACTGAGTCCCAGGACAAGGATGGCATCTGCACACATCCTTACCCCACCCCACTTGTAATCCCGCGGCTCTATAGCCAATCAGATTACTTTTACAGTGAAGGGAATCTCTAATCCAGTATGTGAGTAGTGGGGGCAGTGGCAGTGGTGATGGAGACCTCGCCTTCCCATCCGCACACCGCTACGTCATATGGAAGTGGGGAGCATACTTCTCTAAGCCAGCGCTTCACTCCTAGAAATGTGCTCGTGTAGGAGACTGGAAGACGGAAACATTCCTTTCATCATATTCAATATGGTGAAATGATTCCGTTTTTGGAATTTGTTCTATTCTAATCTATTCTGTTTCTTTCTTTTCTATCCTATTCCACTCTTATTTTCTAATCTATTCTTTTATTCAATTTCCTTCTTTTATTTTCTACTTTATGCTATTGTTTTGTGTTTTTTTTTTTCTTTTTCCGTTCTGTTTTATTGTATTCTTTTCTATTCTATAAAGCAGCCTAAGTATCATCATCTTATTTCACTCCTATACCTTACTGCAGTGGTTCTTAACCTGGGTTCGATCGAACCCCAGGGGTTCGGTGAGTTTCGCGGGTTCGGCGGAGGTGAAGACCCACACCCGACTCATATGATTCGTGCATAAATATTCATTATTATGTTTTTGTTTTTGTGTGAAAATCATGTTTTAATGGTTTTGTTCTTTGTTCTTAACGGTTTTGTTCATTTTGTGCACATATGTATAAATATATACCTAAATATATACCTATGTTTTGAATTTTAAAAATCATATTTTATTTTTCCAATTAAGAAGGGTTCGGTGATTGCGCATATGAAACTGGTGGGGTTCAGTACCTCCAACAAGGTTAAGAACCACTGCCTTACTGCATTTATTGCAAAATGTTTTCATTTATTTTATTTAAGGTGCTTTATGTCAATTTTTACACAGCATTTTACATATATATTGTACATTCACATCAGTCCCTAACCCTCAAGGGGTGTACAATCTAAGGTCCCTAAAAATCTCAAGGGGTGTACAATCTAAGGTCCCTAACTTACATTCATACATACACATACTAGGGACAATTTAGACAGGAGCCAATTCACCTACCAGCATGTCTTTGGAGTGTGGGAGGCCTGGCCTGCACAGAGTCCTGACCTCAACCCCATAGAACACCTTTGGGATGAAATAGAGTGGAGACTGCGAGCCAGGCCTTCTCCCCCGACATCAGTGCCTGACCTGACAAATGTGCTTCTGGAAGAATGGTCCAACCTTCCCATAGACATCCTCCTAAACCTTGTGGACGGCCTTCCCAGAGAGTTGAAGCTGTTATAGCTGCAAAGGGCGGGGCCAACCCAATATTGAACCCTACGGACTAAGACTGGGATGCCAGAAAGGCAGCAGGCGTCCCAATACTTTTGGCAATATAGTGTACATGTATAATAATAAGGCTCATGTACACTGCAGCTGATAAACTGACGACGTTCAGAAGCTGTTCAGCGTTTTTTTCAGCAGCCCCTGAACTCACCCTAATGCTTTCCTATGTGTCCATGTGTTCGTTTACAATCGTTTACGGGCATTTGTGTTTACAGTCGTTTTTTTGAACGCAGAAAACTTGCGTTCAGCAGTCAATTTTATCAGCGTTTCAAACACAAAATGCTTGTAAACGCGGCAAATCGCATTTATAGCGTTTGCGTTTGAAAAAAAAATGCATGCGTTTCAGGGTACTCAGATGGACAAACACTGAACACAGGAAGTTCCTACCAAGCTTGTCACACATTGTAATGACCAATTCACACCTCAGACCTCTCCCACCCTTGGAAACAAAAGATATGTTAATGACCATTCACACCTCAAATTCCTCATGAAGACCCCCTGCCAGGTGGCCTTAATGATTCTCCCTCCACCTTTCCCACCCTGAGAAACAAAATAAATATTAATGAGCAACTCACACCTAAACTAATCTCAACACATACTGCTGTCTCTGCTTCTACTCTCTGTATTTCTCTGAAACAGTCTGAAATGGTTAATACTT